GTTTATTTATTATCAACTAACATCTATATTCCCACTGAGCAATATTGCTGGACATACATAGATATTAAAATACACCTTTAATAAAAATTTGTAAGTGTTAGTTCCAAAAGCAACGTAGTTACATGCCACTTCCCATTCGGACTCATATTAGAGTCAGAAAAGTCTCAGAGTTCTGAGTTGTAACCCTCATTATGAGTTTAAAAGAGTCGGAAAAGAGCATATTTCCCTTCTTAGAAGGGCATGTCAATATGAGTCCAAGTTAAGAGTCGTATTAGAGTCTGAAATATGACGCTTTGTTGTATTTGTTCAACTCATATTTCTGATGAAAGAAACTCATTTTAGAGACATCAGTTCTGAGCACTCAGAAAAGTGTGTAAAGGGTTTTTAAAAAGCCCTACCTGTTTTTGATACTGATTTTATAAAATGGGTATTCATGGAAACGTGTAACCGCGTAAACTTCGTAAATAAACCGATTTTCCATACAAAATTAAGTATTTTTACGAGGTTTATACGATTATGAGGCATTTACGCGTTTAGATGAATTGCCCTAATGTTTTTTGCTTTGTGAATTAAGGTACATAGCCTGATCCGCCAACACATAAAAGCCTCGTGGGATGTCACCATGGAAATCACCCCAATAACGCCCTGCTTCGAAATGAACCGCCTCCTCGACATGTCAGACGTCACCTGCACGATTGGAAACCCGACGTTGAGCCGTGCGTATACCACCCTTTCGACGCAGAGAAATACAGAGCGGCGCTTAACCACCTACACACCGATGCAGTCAGGTCGAGTCTTAGTACCAGGAACGACAACATCGTTCTAGGCGGTCGACCACCGCCCATCAACATCGACGAAGCTGAACTGCCAAGAAAGACCAGGTGCACCCTAGCTCTACTCCGTTCTAAACAGCTATTTCTCTCGGCTGAACCCAGGAGTGGCAGACACATGCCCTGCATGGGGGCAAGGTCCACACAACACCCAACACCTCTTCGCATGCGCCTCTAAACCCACAACCCTGACACCAGAAGCACTATGGACTGCGGCGGGTGAGTACTGCTGCTACAACAACAACAACAACAACAACAACACCAACACCAACAACAACAACAACAACAACAACAACAACAACAACAACAACAACAACAACAACAACAACAACAACAACAAACAACAACAACAACATAAGAGGACATATGAAAACGAAGAGTTCTGGGGGTAAATTAAAAGTTACATGCTCAAGAGTGTCTCAATAATGTAGTAATATTTTCCAAAGGGAGTAATAGGAAGAAATCGAATCTGAGAAATTAAGGGAAGCGAAGGCAAAGGAGTAACATACTTCTCCACTAAAGCGCAATAAAACTTTATTATCAGGTGTAAATCGCGGATTAAACTTCGAAAATAAATATGTATGTACATATTTTTAATAAGGAAAGAAGTAGAAACGAATGTTAACTGGAATAATGACACCAAAACAATTGTATTGTGTCTTCGCTTTATGTGCTGAAGCGCCTTGAAGAAGACCATAATCGATAAGCAACAGTGAAAAGATCTGCCATAATTGGAATCAAGAGGACTATGGACCACTTCTACGCTCGTGCTTATCGCAATACCGTTATGTCCGGTAAACTAAGGGTCACGTTCTTTAAGTACACTTTCAGCTATTGGCAGTCTAAAAAGCTTTCGAGTTCATTCTGACACGAAATTGTCACTGCATACCTATGCTGAGTTTGAGTGAAACATTTCCCAACCCCCATCTTATCGTAGGAAGACTGGGCAGGGTGTAGTGCTAGAATCATGGATCTGTGAACACGAAATACAAATTGCTCATCATTCTTTTCTATTAGACGTACCACGTAAACAATACAAAGACAAAATAGGAATTATATTCTGATTTTCGATCATATGGTTGTCAATATCATTGGGCTTCCGCACAAGGGAGTAATAAACCTTATGTAAGGTGTCGTGCGGGAACAGCTTCCTGTAAAATCCTGTAAATTCCTACTATTCGTACTGCTGCTGGAACGCAACTGCTTGGCGTTCTGAATTTTGTAATTTATGGAGTAGGTACCAACTTCTTGTACGTAGAAATATTATCATACACAGATAAACGTGTGGCATGAAAGACAAAAAAATAAAATAAAATTTCCAATAAAACCATTTTTTCGCACATGAAAAACAAAAACAAAGATTGTGCAAAGAAACATTTTGGCTTTCCCTGAGTACTGGCGACATGTTAACAAATAATCTGTAAAAGAATATGTGCAATCATATAACAACAGATAAATATTTAAGCTTTTTTCGAAACTGAGATTTAATTAGGTACATGATAGGTATGTATTCAGTAAATGTGCAAACATGACTCACCTGTGCCATTTGCGGCTTGCGATTAAAGTCCCGTGGATCCATACTATTGGCATCCAAATAAATGACCAGATTACAAAGCAAAACTCCATCGCGTAGCGTCAAGGCAAGTACCCGTATTTCGGAATCTGGCCAATTCGCTTTATGATCGGGTGGTATTATTTTGCAGCGTGTCAGCCAGGCAACACACTCACGCCATAAATCACTGTTTCCACCAGCAATACCACCGCCGGCGGCACCCAAGACGCCACCACTACCACTGCTACTATTTGCCGCCATGGCCATGGTATGAATATTGTGTTGACTACAGATTTAAGTGAATATTTGTTGCTAAATGCTCCTTGAGCAAGCTGCTCTTGCGCTGATTAGCTGATAAATGCGTACACTTTATTCCAAAATTATATTGCTGAGGTTAAAAATATGCTAGGTCTATGTGTACGGATGCGCGCGGGATTTTATATTGAACTATGATGTAGGACAATATAACTATGAACAATAAAAAGATGTAAGTTCTATACAATTTATGGAAACAATTTACATAAATTCTTTTACAGAAAATCGTATTAGTGTCACAATTCTTTATTGCCATATAAGCGCGCCACCATTGACAGACAAGCACATATGCAGTTATTAAACACAAACATAAAACACACACACGAACTTGTATCTGCGGACGCACAAAAAATACACGAGGCTATACATACGTACGCTATGGAATTGCACGGTCTTCTATACGCTTTCAACAAATCATCACATAAACAATTATTGCCTTTTCTCTATAGTAATAACAATATTTGCTCGCGCTCGCACATCGTATATTTGCAAATTTCTTTTAATTAATAATAATTTGTAAGTATGTATGTTGAATGCCCACATTTATCGCCACAGATCTCATTGAATACTTTCGTTTTTTTTTTTTTGGTTAAATGTTCTTGTTCTGCGTAAATATTTCTGCAGCGCTTTGGTATTGTTTCATGGGCGTGCTCTTCTGCTTTTGCCTGGCGTCAGTGGAATTGGAAATAATAAGAAAAAAGACGGCGACGGCTGTTTCCTTCACTACAGCCTATTGGGCATTGGATTTCATTGAGGCTGTTAACAAGGACGGTCACACTTTCAACGCAACAAATTGTTGTTTTCGGAGCACAAAAAATATGTCCCTTGATTATTCACTACACACAGAAACTATTTTCCTTATTCACAAATGAATCAATTACACTCAACCGCTGCTTGCGAATTTTATTTATCCTCTGAACACGAAAAGACTCCAAGCTCCATGAACGAAAGACATGTCCAAGCTCCTTGCGTCCTGTCAGCGCAATCATCGAAGCAGCAATTTGACATTTGGCGGCAGAGATGGAGCTTCGGAGTGTTGCCACACTTGTTGCGCCTATAAGTGAATCAAAGGCACAGGGGAAGAATATGAACCAAAACTACATTTTAAATTATAGCGTCATTTGTACGAAATTAAGTTTGTTAGTTATTATTTGCCAGTGTTTAACTGAAAGCCATTTTAACCGTAATTTTTACGGGTTGGCGGTTGTTGGTAAATACAAAACGCTGGCAAGTTTCGTAGGCTACTTACGAATGTCATGCGATGCAATCATGCGATTGGGGCTTGAAGGGTTGCATTTATTTTGTTTTAGTGTTTCAGAATGTTCAAAAAAAAAGGTATTCAAATATTTTAATGCTACTTTGTATTCAAGTCAAATTGAGGCCCGATATATGATATGGTCGACAAAATTTCTATTGACTGAATTTTTAAACGCTACTTTTCGTTCATGTAAAATTTAGTTCGATATGATGGAAGCAAAATTGTATTCCCAAAAAAAAAAAAAAAAAAAAAAATGATACCGCTGAACTTTCTGTTAAACTTACCCAATATACTGATCAAGTGTGAACAACTTATTAACGAAATAATTCGTATATGGTTGTTATCTTTATTAACCGACTTATAAAAAGGGGGAGGTTATCAGTTCGTCGGAATACTTCTTTTTTTTTATGTATGTTACCGCATAACTTTGGACCACGTCACGTTCGATAATTCTTTTTGCATCGTAAAGGCAGTGTCTCAGAGGTGGTCCCATACTAATCTGAGTAAGATCCGATCAGTGGATCATGAGATATATATATATGTTTTTTTTAAAAGAGTTGAAGTCGGTTTTTTTTGCTAAAAATTATTTGTTTTTCAATGAGTTATCATACAGTGCTGTTCTTTATACATATAAGCTTTTATTTATATATTTATTGTAAGTGCGTGCAACTAATATTTTATTTTGAGTACATTAGAAAAAAATTCCAATTTACTGCTTTCGGATTTGGAAAAAAAATGTATATATATATTTATATTCTGGAATAAAACGTAAAAATAACGATGTATCAGGGAAATAAAATAAACTTCTTAAGCTGATTACAGTTATTTCTGCCACTAAGCGAGCGATTCTTAAGATTATATACATATGGATGTATATACTATTTTTCAGATTTCTGAATTCATTTGCATTTGTTCAAGGTAATTAATTATATGTATGCAGTACACGTCTCTTATGGAACGATCAGACGTAAATACGAATATGTATTAATGAGCATAGTCACAGTATACTTAAAAGATATAGATAATTAAAACATTAAGTAGAGTTAACAATTATTGCTATAGTAGTCCTTTATATACATACATATGATCGGCTATGTACATATAGATAGCATGTATCAAATATTTTATCAAAACGAATGTTTGAAAATTTATCCAATTCCGAAGCTCCTTAATTTGCATTACCATGTAAATGCGAAAGCAGCGATTCAATATCGTCCATTTGGAGTACTTCTGTAGTACCTGCAGAACTCTTTGTGGTTGGTTTCGTTGGCAGCGTGGATTTTGTCGCGGCGGCGGCAGATGTTGTTGGTTTTCTATATTTTAATGATACTTAAAAATAAAAAAAAAACTTGAAGAGTAAAAGGAACACTTACGATAACAGTTTTTGAGATTCTTGTGTGCTGCTAGTAGCTGGTGCAGATATTGGTGTCGATGTTGCAACTGGTTCAATCTCCCTTGTACTGCTACTAGCATTTTTATCAATGTCAGTGCTGCTACCAGGCGTCAGTGTCGACGTTGTTGTGGCTGTTGCCAGAGTTGTTGTCGTGCTATGCACTACCCCCACCATGGCTACATCATCCTGATCACTGCTACAGGTATTTATACGAACCTTACGCTTTTTTGGTATATTTCGTATTTGCTGCGTTGCGGGCGATAAGTGGAATAGCATTAGATCATCGCTTACACGCCAAATATGTTTCTCATCCTCATCGAAAGCGACGACCATTTTGAAGTTTGTAAAATCTCGCCGCGGCAAAGGATTAGGTGGTGGCATATCAGGGCCATCGTAGGTAACCGATATGAAACGCACTGGATCCTCATCGGTGACTGTAACGAGTTCACAACCTTCCAAGGGATCATCCTCAGAAGTTTCGGTTGTAGCAGGTTCCATATTTGTTGTAGATGTTGGAGTCGCTGGACACTCTTCGATAGTTTGCACAGTCTCTCTCGTTTTCGGCGCAGTTGATTTCTGCTGCGCTTCGATGTTTCCTGTTTGGACAGCCCACTTTTGCTTATCAGCGGACTCAGCTTTTTGCAATGATTGGATTTCCGGCTTAGTTAATTTTGCCTTTAGAATATCAGCGGCTCGACTATCGCTTTCTGTGGTCATCCTTTTAGGTTTTGGCATATCTCCCTTTTTAACCGCATCACCTTTTTCTGTGTTTTCTGGTGCGACTGATTTTTCATGTGGCAAATGTTTATTGGGTTTAGTTGGCTTTGCCTTAGGTCCTTCAGTCTGATCCGCAACTTCCTTGGCTTTAGGAACGTCTGTGTTAGTTTTAGCTTGTTCAGCATCCTTGGCAAATTTCATGGATTCCAAAGGTGTTTTGAATGTTTTAGTTGGTTTTCCCGACTGCTTTCCTTCTTCGGCTATATCTGCGCTCTTTTTGTCGTTCTCTGTTTTATCACCGTTTTGGGTATTAACTACAGTCTCCTTAGCAGGCACCTCTTTTTGCGCTGAGCCTGTTTTTGGAACTTCCGCGTCAACTGGTTTTTGGATTGGGACCGTGTCTTCATGCGGCGCGTGTTCGATTGCAAGCCTCGCTGCTTCACATTGCATATTTTGCGTTGCCTTTTGACTTTTCGTTATTCTTGGCCGCCCTGGCGAGATTTTAATTCGCGCTCCTAGCAGTGATTTAGCCGTAGTAGCCCTGGTCTTCATACTTTTGGTTGTTTTAAGTTTTTTTATTGGTTTAGTTGGAACTTCTTCTAGATCGTCTGCATCACAGTCCTTTGGCTTTGCATTCTTGATACCCTTTAAGCGTGGCGAAACACGTATTTTGCTACTCGTAGCTGCAGTTGTTGTTGTTGTTTTAATTTTTATTTTTGGCACCGGACTAATACCAGCACGCATGTCTTCTGAGCTTCCATCGCTATCATCTCTGACCTTCTCTGCCAACTTACGAGGCGACTTCACTTCGTCGATTCGCCCTGCTATTTCAACCGCCTCTCCTGCTGTTGTGCCCTTGAAGCCAAGTGGATTACGTACAATTTTCTTGCGCCCAGCTCCCGAAGAGCGTGTTGACTTCAATACCGGTAATGCTTCAATTCGCAAGCATTGCCGTTGCTTGGCTTTCACCTTCGAAATCAGTGTCTTCAACGGCAAACGGTCAGATTTCTCTGTTAATTCATATGTTGTTGTTATAGATGAGGATGTTGTGGCGCTTGAAAAGAGCGTTGATGTTGCATTATCGTCTAGGGCACTTATCAGCGGTGCTATAGCAGATGTTCGCGTCTTCGGCTCACTCACCCTTGTTTGCTGAGACTTCCTCGCAGACAATTGCAGCGCTGTCAGCACTTCCATGGTACGTTTCTCCTCCTGGACGAGATGTGGCTCCAGCGTTGTTGATGTGGCTGCAGATAATGGAGACTTTGTTGGTTGACTCTTACCTTTCTCTCGCATCGCAGCAATCTTCCTTGTTGCGCTCAACGCTGCAGTAATACCACTTGGCGGTGTCGATGGAACGTTCGATCGTTTTTCCCGCCCCTGATTGGCGTCTCGTTTTAGTTTCTCCATCATACGTTCACGCTTCTGCTGCAGATCTTCCTCTAAGCGATTCTTTTTCTCCGCAGATTTCAGCGGTACAGTAACCTTAATTATGGTCGGTAACACGCGCTCTTGCGCATCTCTAGCTGAGTGTTGTTCTACTTTGCTTGGTGTTAGCCAACTGCGCACCGGATAGCGCACTTCACCATCATTACCCACCAGCTGCGAGTTCTCTTCCTCTGTTACAGCCAACTTCTGCCACTCCTCATCTTCGGTGCTACTAATAGACGAAAGATTATCCAGCGATAAGCGCAGGTTATTGTCTGGCGATTTTTTCTGCTCTTCGGCCTTAGCTGTCGCTTTGTGTAATGCTGCACTCGAATCCGACGACGAGCTTGAGCTGGACGAGGAACTGTTCGATGAGGACGAAGAGGACGAGCTCGAAAATGTGCTAGATGAATTTGACGACTCTTCTTCGGCGCAAATTTCAGGCAATTCAGAGGCGAGCATGTAATGTGGATCGATATTTATAGACGCTGTCGCGCCTTCGCCATCTTCCGTGCCTTCGGCACCAAATGATTTTACACGTTTCAGTACTATCGGTTCAACTCTTAGCTTCTCAGCGGGTATTTCAACGCAAATGGCGTCCTGTTTTTGCTCCATGTGCAGTTCTGTCGTCTCCCTTTGGTCTTCGAATAGTAAATTTTTAACCTCTGCTGCATGGGATTGCTTTTCCTCTTCTTTTTGCTTCTGCTTTTGCGCTGAGTCTTTTAGAAGTTTGTCGAATTTTCGGTCCAAATCATCGGATTCATCAGGTTTATAGTACGAGCCACCGGAGGAGTAATCAGTCGCAGGCGCAACGCTGCGTGGTGTCACATCCCGACTTGAACCGAAAGGTGTGAAACGGATTCCGGGCGTTATTGCGCTCAATTGGGGTGTTTCTAGTTCGCTTTTTGTTAAGGAACCAAAAAGATATGACGTTGAAAGAGGAATATCCCCTAATTTCGATGCAGGTGTGTCTAAAATGGGCACCGGCATGCCAGGCGTCGGCGGTACCTCACCCAATGTTGTAGGCGCCTTAAACGGCGTTTCTAGCAAGCAAGCAATATTGGCTGTGCGGCGATCGCGTTCGTGTTCCAAGCGATTTTCAGTCCTTTGCACAGTTGGTTTGCACTGTTCCGTTCGTTCAGTCCGATTTTGCAGCGTTGGGCTATCAGCAGCATCAGCGGGCGGATGTGTTGCCAATTCATCGGTGTCGCTGGTCGTGCGTTCACTTCTCATTTTCAACAAGGATTCACGTTTATCTTTTTGTGGCGTCGGAATTTTAATATTGAACTCCATGGATCTGTCCTTAACCGTGCGCTTTTTCTCGCGAGTTCTCTTTGATTTAATATCTTTTTCCTTGATTACAGCTTCCTCTACTGGCAGTTGGTCACTTTCATTGCCCTCTTTACTTTCGTCAACTTCCACACTGGCATTCAAACTAATTTTCCTTTCGTGATCTAGCAAAGCAAGCGCTGCCGCCTTTTTTCGCCTACGTTTTGAAACAACGGCCTTTTTTTGCCTCAACTTGCGCTTTTTTGCTGGGGTAGACCTTACTCTACGCGCAGACTTGGGTATTGACGCGTTTTGTTCAGCGTTTAACTGACGCAAACGAGAATCGAGGTCGCTAGTACTAGCATTTCGTAAGCGTAACCATTCTTCCATCATTTTGTCATCATTTAATTTTCTCTGATCGATAGTTTGCTCCTTGCCCTCAGTGACTGATTCTATAGGTTCAATCTTCTCTGTTTGATTTTTGGTTACCAACTTTAGCTCATCCGAGGACTTTGAAAGCCGGCGCTTACAAGCGCGCACTGCCGACCTACGAACCTGCTTGCGCTTTGGTGTGTCCGGGTGATCAGCGATAGTCGATTTCGAAGTAGCAGTTGCCTTAGGTTGAACCGCCAGAGAAACTTCTTTACTTTCTTTGAGGGATAGCTCCGTTTTAATGACGGTCTGGTTGCTGCTCTCCTCTGTTACAAACAAGGGAGGTACGCTGCAGCTATTGCTGCTCTCATTGGCGCTCACATCGATTGTGCCGTCTAGGCGTGGTAATATCTCCACATTTTTTATTATAGGTTTTTCTGGTACAACCGAGAAGTTTTCTGGTACTTCCCCGTCTTCTAAGAGTGCTGTAGTAGAAGCTACAGCATCACGCCTTGTAGAAAGTGGTGTGGCACCAGCTTTCGCAGCTATCCTATTGCCCTCCACCTTCGGAGAAAACGAAAGTGTACGTACATGCGATGTGCGCTTACGAGGCGTTGACAGGCTTTTGTACGCTTTTGAATTAACTATACCACTTGTGGAGGGCGTTTCACCATCCGCGTTTGAACGCACGTTTAACGAGGAGGGCGCTGGCCCATCCATAGTTTTCTTGCAGACAGTGCGGGGCGGTTGTTGTGCGCCTGGCAAGCGTTGCTCTTCTACGGTGATTGCTTTCTGAGCACTTGTCACGATAATAGAATTTGGTGGTAACTGGTCTGCTGATACTATAATGGGTTCCGGCAGAGGGATTTCAATACGAGAGCCATCCATGTTACAGATGTTGTCTGTTTGAAGTTGTTGTGTTACTGCCTCATTATTGACAAGAAATGGGAAATTGGCCAGCAACCCCTCGTCGGTAAGGAATAATGGAATTGTTAATTGACCTGTGTTAGCATCGAAGAAAACCTGTTTCAAATAATAAAAAAAGGTAAAGCACATATTTTCTCATCACCTTTTTCTGGTTAACACGCTTAATACCTGTTCGTCTCCAGTCGCCTCAGCTCCACTACTAGTCAGTTGGGTAATTAACTGATCAGCAGTGGTATTGCCAATACTTTGATCAGCAGAGGATGGCTTCTGTGCGCCGTCATTCGGATTCAAAACTATCAACTTTGATATGGAAAAATTTGGATCGATCAACGAACCAAACGAATTATTTGAGGTTAGCGCGGATAGCACTTGCGATTCTCCGGCACTGGCATCGCCACCACCGCTATGCGAGGTGCTAGCCGCTGCTACGGCAGTACGTATAAGAAGCGGTGTACGTGGAGTCGTAGTCGAAGCTGCAGTCTCGTGCGATATGGCAGCTAAGCAGGGCACATTCAAAGATTGCTGCGGTTGTTGTTGCACAAGAGTAAAAAGCTGTTGTTGTTGTTGTCCTAACAGAGGAGGTACAGTTGGCAAGCCTAGCTGCGATTGTAGTTGATTACTATCGATATGGCATTGTACGCCTGCCGAAACATTGGTCGATTGTACGGACGCTATAAAATATGTGATAATATATGCCGAGTTTCAAATTTATTCAATTCTTACCACCAACGACGTTTTCAATAATTGCATCGAATGCAGGATCTTTCTCGGTAGCCTTTAATATATCCTGGACCATTTGATCTAACATTTCATTTGAATTAATAATTTGCTGCTCCTCCGATAGCGTATCAGTGTTTGTTTGTATATTAGCAGTTGTGCTGTTAATGTTGGACAAAATTGCTTGCCCATCAGGATTTACGGAACTGCTGAGTGCTTGATTGATATTATCCACTAGCTTCATTTGAAAATGCGGGTTATCTAATATAGCTTGAGACAGATCCTGTGGGTGTACAATAAGTTTACATAGGTATAGATACATTTTTAAAAGAAATTATTGTTATTACCGGCACAGATGGTGTTAGAAATTTTCCTTTTACCGATATATTGCGTGGCGTTGACTCCTGGGTAGGCTTTTCCCTAATCGATAGATCTGATTCGTTATCAAGCACTTCTGCATCCTCTTCATCGGCACTCTCGTCTTCAACGCCATCATCAGTCTGCGTTTGTTCATCGCCAGTTGAGGATGCTGACTCCTTTTGAAGGCGTTGCAAATTATGTTTTTGCTTCGCACTAAGGTAGCAAAATGGTTCTAATATGCGGCGTCTTTTCGTCAATTTGTTTTGCAAGGAGACGGGACTTTTACGCTCATCTGACGAGTATATTAAACATGTGCTGAAGATAAATATGTTATTTAAATATAAATTCGAAATTTTTTTGTTTATTAACGCTAACCGCTTCCTTTTTTGTTTATTTTGCTTTTTAGTTGTGTTCTCTTTATCCGATGGCACACTCGTGCTGGCCGCGGAACTACGTTTGACATCGCTTTTTTTAAGTGCACTGCTTTCGCTTTGCTCGGCTTTCAAAAAAGAATCTAAAGCCCGCTCGAGCAGTAAATTAACTTTTTCTGAAAGCTTGCGTTCGAACAATTGAAAACGCAGGCTGCTTGGTAAGGACGACACAAGCCGATCAACTGCAATAATTAAATCCCAATTAGTATTTGATTGCATTATCACATTATACAATTTTGTAAATAGGACTGTACTTACCTGTACATGTAATATTTACATATTCACAAATGATATCCTCCAAATCGGGTCCGAAGGTATGTGGCGTATAGCCTTTTCTATAGGCTGAAAATTCCTGTTTCAGATGCGGTGAAGTTTTGCAAAACAAACGGGAAGTGCGTTCTAAATTTTGTCGCTTCAAATAGCCTATCACATCAAAAGGGAGGGAAAATGAATGTTTGTAATCGCGGAGCCCCCAGGTGCGTATTTGAAAAGTCTTACCTAGCACAAGACGCGCAATGTCCGAGTGCAAGACAACAGCATCCATTTCACTTGATGAGTTTGTTTAATCGTTTTCACACAGAACACATACCTACTCCCAACAAAATATTTTCCTTTTGTTAAATACTTTCTATTTATTTCTGAAATACTTGTTTTTCTTTTATTGTGAGCTGCAAAAACTAATCAAAAAAGATTTTAGCACATTGTAAAAAGCGACGGAGAAAATTTATTTGGTTTTTACGTTGCCAGATAGTTCGATAAAAGTTTTGTTAGGGTTTTATGTACAATCTAAAGTGGCCATCAGAGGAGACTTGTTGCCGTATGTGCCGGAGAGGTATGAAACTGACAGTTGCGTAAAGCCTGCTATACAGTTCAATGAGAGCGTGAGCTTTTTATTTTGAACAATATCTTCGCTATTACCTAACTTTTTACAATAGTGGATACATCAAAAGATAGAGAATTAAAATATCTTTCAGAACTAAAGAATAAAAACTAAGTATACGACGTAGCGTAGTGGTAGGTTGACGCAGACACGATCTAACTTAAGCTGAAATTAGGCAAGAACGTAAACCTACCGATACGTAAACCCGAGTCAGCTGACACGATCTGTCTTAAGGTGTTCTTACACGATATGTATTTGCATCTGTAAATGTGACTTTTTCAATACATATGTAATTGCATGTGTCTGTCAAATTCACAGTATGTCTGTCAAATTGACAATCTTTATTTAACTATTTAAAAATACGTTCTTTGAAAACGAATTAAACTAAACTGTGATGATGTGTGTCAGATAAAAATAGAAACACATCTATTTCATATGTACGTGCATCTGCTTTGTACAGAAACAAATATTCTTTGCCTTTACACGATATGCTGGCATGCGACATGTACACATGCAAATACACATCGTGTAAGAACACCTTTACCAGCCCATAGCGCAGAAATCTGCGGAATTTAGATTTTTCCGCGTCAGCTGATTTCATCCTTCTATAGATGGTTGCCACTTCGTCAGTTTTGCAGATGGTAAAAAAGTCATAAGTTCCTCTTCAAAATACGTTTAAAATATTTGAAATTTACTATTGAAAAAGGTTTTTTGTTGAAAACTAAGTAGTTTAAATGTAGCTACGATCTATTATAAGACGAAAAATTTAAGTTGAATAGGAATTTCATGAAAAGGCATTGATGAGTGGCAACACTGTAGTAAGCAACACTCCAGTAATCGACAAAATTCTGCGTATACAGACTGCGTTTAAAGCTGAAATTAGTCGAGAACGTAAACCTACCAGTACGTAAACCCGAGTCAGCTGACACGATCTCTCTTACGACAGCGCTATGTAAATGAAAACTCAACACCGAAGAATTTTTCTGTAGTTGTACCCCGTAGCGCAGAAATCTGCGGAATTTAGATTTTTTCGTGTCAGGTGATTTCTTCCTTCTATAGATGGTTGCCACTTCGTCAGTTTTGCAGATGGTAAGTAAGTTATAATTTCCTATTCTCTATTGAATAAGATTTTTGTTGAAAACTACTACTTGTTTTTATTTAGCTGTGATCTTTTATAGCACGAAAAATTTTAGTTAAAAAGGTAAGTTTATGAAAAGGCATTAATGAGTGGCAACACTGTAGTAAGCAACACTGAGGGCTCTAGTAATCAACAAAATTCTGCGTATACAGACTGCGGTTAAGTATACGTTCTGCGTTCTTGACTATATTCAGCTTAAGTATAAGTTCTGCGCTCTTGACTAATTTTACCTTTATGGGATTCGCGTGTTAAGACTGCTTTTACACAGTTCAAGTATTGAACTTAATTCTGCTTGCATGTGGAAGAGAGGGGGTGAGAAGAAAAGGGACTAGTACCGTCAAGTGGTTTCAACTTTCTTGCTTTGCTTTTGGCATTTTCGTTGCTTCCAATTTAAAGAACCAAAACTTGAATTCAACAGAATTGAAACGTGTAAAAGCAAATAGAAAACACAAAAGAGAATGAGCAACAATTGCTTTCAAGTACTTGAATCATGTAAATCGGGTGTTACGAAAACATATCACCGCATACCGGCGACGTTGCCGTATCTCTCTCTCTCTCTCTCTCTCTCTCTATCAGTGAATTTATACGATGCTACGTACGTTTGCGCTACGTCGTTGACTGTTTGCGCCTTTATTATACTACGTTTATACGTAGGTGAAGTCATTAAATCATTTAGGTAAAAATTGGCTGCATAAAGCAAATTTCATGAATTCAATTACTCACGAAAATTATCCATAAATTTCGGCATCATTTCATGAGTTCTTGCAATGCTAGTTCGACTACGCCGTGTCTCACAAACAACTGTTTACAAGGGTCAAGACGTTTTTAGATTGAAAAGTATGCAGTAGCATATCCACGATTCAAAACACTAGAGAAATTAGGTGGATATGTTCAAATATAAAATAAATTCAAACAAACAAAGAAATTTAAATGCATTAAAACCTAAAGTACGCTGTCCCACAAGAGCACGTATCTCTCTCAGCCCCTCTTCCAGGATGTTGGACGTCTCTTTCTAAAGGGTATGTGGACAACCCAATCTTTCGGTTGAATCGTTCCACCATGCCATCTGATTGGGGATAAAGAGCCGTTTTTCGAGTTTTCCGGATATCCAGTTTCTGGCACNTCCTTAGTCAGAGTGTAGCTCTATAAGTACTCCGTATCTCGCAAACCAATTGTAGATGAATACCTCCGCTACTGTTTTAGCTTCCTGGTTTGGAATCGGGTATACCACCGCCCATGTGCTAAAGTAGGCCATACAAAGGACGTATTTGTTTCCCAGTAAGCTCATAGGAAATGGGCCTGTTACATCCATAGCATTCCACTCGAATGGTGAAACTGAGTTATACTGCTTCATCTGGCCATAACTTCTAGATTTCGGCCCTTTAGCTGCAATTTACTCCGCGCAGTTCACAATCCACTCTGCGACCAATTGCCGACAGCCAACCCAATAGAACCTTTGCTTGATCACCTCCAGGGTCTTCGTGATTCGCAGGTGCCCTCCATTGGTACTATTTTGGAATTCCTTGAGAACGTCCGAAACTCTTACACTCGGAACTACTATTAAATTGCGGGAGCAATGGCCATTTTCACTTTCCCATACCATATGCAACCAGCCAGATATCAACTTCAAGCTGTTCCGTTGGGCCCAGTATGCCTTTGTTATGGGGCTCTCCGCTACCATTTGCTCATTAGTTGGCCGTCTGCCCATCTCCAGTCTATGTATTAAAAGCTCTAGATCTGGATTATCCTGCTGACACTTTCGTAGCTGTTCTTTCTTCCACTCTATGATGTCTTCTTTGGCCTGAGCTTTCGAACAGTGCTCACATTCCAAGCTACATGGTCGTCGAGACATAGCATCAGCAATTCCGTGGACACTTCTCTTGCGGTGTTCAATAGCGAAGGCGTAACTTTGCAGTCTCTCAATCCATCGACATAGCTGTCCTTCTGGATTCTTGAACTGTAGTAGCCGTTCGAACTCAGAAACATTGCCCATAGAGGTACTTG